TCGTTTGTAAAGAATTTCTTCGACAAGATCTCGAAGATTAATAAATCGACGAAGCATGTTGTAAGTGCTGTTCCATCTCACCTATAAAGTAAATAAAATGGTGAATAAACAGTTCTTCAATCAATACAGCTCCCTTAATCTCGTCTGATTCTTAACTTGAAACAAAAATGGTTTAGTTAATTGCTTTGTTGCTTCACTTATTAAACTAACATACTCTATTGCGTAAACTCTACCCTCTATCAAAAGTTTTGATTAAATTCTTTCCAAAATGATTTGTCCTGTTGAAAAAATTACTGTTGTGAATTCACAGTGATGAAAACTGTAGACTTCTGGTGGAAATCAGTTTTTTGTAAATAACTTAGCTTTTGTCTTTAAATACTATTATTCTTAGAAGAACAGACTTCGTGATCAGTTTTTGTATGCAATGTGAAGAAAGTTAGCTGTCACATATTAAAAATATACATGTGATGAAGAAAAGAGACGAAGCTTTTCATTACTAACTTTTATTATATAGTTGCAATCTAAAACTTACCCTAACGTCCAAAATAAATCCACCTTTATTGGGACCAAGTTTTTTATAAATATGACGTTGAATGGCAGCAACTTGACGAGCCATCGACACGAAAATACGTACTTTACTAATAAGACGATGAACACGTACAAGAAATTTATAAATTTCTTCATTATCTCGAGGCTCTTCTGTTTGACTATGATCCTCCAAGACTTCAATATTGAAATAATCATTTGTCTGAAAAAATAATGACGGCAAAAGATTATCGGAATATGATGAAAAAGTGTAGTTGAGCTGTGTTGAATCTTCACTATCATCATCTGATGTCTTCTTTTTACCATCTAATGAAATTGATGAAATATTTGGTGAAAAATCAGACGTTAATTCATCATCTTCATCATCTATCAAGGAATCAATTATTTCGTGATGAGCTGAATCGAACGGATACCTATAAAAATTTAACAATATTAATAATAAGTTGTTAGCAGTATATGCTTGTCTAATTGAACTTTTGTGAATATTCAGATGATTTCCTAAATCTTATGATTACTATTCTAGTCTGTAGGTAACGAAATTTACAATATATTGTTTATTTTGAGCAAGAGTTCAATCAAATGATTTCTCTAGTGATACCGTTTCTTTATGAGAAAAAGATAGAACTTACTTCTTAGGATTCGGCTTTTCCCATAAACATAAACCATGATGTACCGTTAAATTTATGCAATGCGCTAGACACGCAAATCGAGGACCTAGTATGTTGTAAGATGCAGCTGATTTTATATCAGGACCATTGTCGGTTGTGATACCTGCCAATACTCTTGTATTTAAACTAAATCGATCACGTTCGTGTTCGAAAAATGCTTGTATATTGGGTGACAATTTCCGTTCGTGAAATAAATGAAAAGATATTGGTAAAGAAACGAACTCGAAATTCGTTGTAAACGTATGAAGAGAAAGAGAGATCATGTGATGAGCAGAAACATCTTTCCATATATCACTTGCAAAGGCTATTGGCCCAACGTGAGGCAACACACTTTTAAGATCATTAATATATTGATGATATTCATTGATAATACGAGAAGAAAGCGTATGTCTATCAGGTGGTGTATATTCAGGTACAGTAAAACCTCCCTAAAGTGAACACTAATGGGACTGGTTAAAACATGTTCACTATAGGAGGTGTTCACTATATAGAGGTGTCATAATGAATAA